ACTAACAAGCTAGGCAGGATTTTGTACAAGACACTTGGATTCTGGGAATTCTACAATTACTGACTTGCACATGGCTTAAAAATAAAGCAAAAACTCCAGGCTCCCTGCTCCTCCTGTCCCCTAGAACTCCTGCCAGGGGGACTGGGAAGTCACCCAGAGCCCTGCCTGGAAGTCACTGGGAGAGTATTACCTCCCCGTGCCTCTGCAGTTTGGAGAAGCCCTCAGGGAGCTGGAATCTGAGTCTCCTCCTCTGTAGAATGAGGTGGTGGAACTAGTAGATGTTTCTTTTCCTTTATGACTTTTTAGTTACAGAACCATAATGTCCCTGGCGTAGCTCATAGCTCAGGCTCACTCCGACCCCGGCTTCCTGGCTTGCTGCATCTCTCAACTGATTTATTTAACCCATGAGTTAGGGGCAAGCATTGGCTCTTTGTGGGCAAAAATAAAAACAAACCCCAAACTTTTTTACGTATAAAGCACCAATATACATACAGTGATGAGCGGATACATATCTGTTGTATTAAAATTAAAATTCATGGGGGAGTGTGGTCAGGAAAAAATATTATAAAGGCTCTTCAGGGGGATCATAATGAGAAAAAGGTTGAGAAACACTGACGTGACCACAAGGGTGTGCAGGGTACCATGACAGGCACCAGGCCACAAGGTGGACAACAGTATGTCCTCCTCTCTAGGAACCTATCCAGAGGGACGCCCACCCTTCCTGTCGCCCAAACCAAGTGTCTTGTTTCCTTCCTTCTAAATCCCACTAGACACTCACTTTCAGTGGGTTACAGGTGCATCTGCACATCCTGGTGGTCATGGCTTATTTTTTTGGCTTTTCTTCCCTCTGTGAAGCTGGATGTCCTCTCCAATGACAAGGTCGTGAACATGTTAAACTCTTCCTTTGCCACCTGTGTTCTTGTGTCGGAAGAAGATAAACACGCCACAATAGTAGAGCCTGAGAAAAGGGTGGGTCTGCACTTCCACGGCTGAGGGTTTAATGTAACTGTTTTTCTTCCCCGCTTCCAAATGACTCCACTTGCTTGGCCAAGCTGGGTTTCTGGGAACCTCCCTGGATCCCTCCTGTCATCTTTTCGCAGATTCTGCCTCACTCTCAAATCCCCCTCTCCACTGTGCACACTGCCACCACAGCTCCCGCTATTGCCATCTCTCCACTGGACTCCCACGGACTCATCTCCGTCTCTAACTCTCTATTGCCATGTTCAAGGCTCCTCGGAGTCTGGCTTCTGTTAACTACCCCTTGTGCTACATCTCCGTCCACCAGACGCCCAGCCCGTACGCCTGACCCTGCTGCCAACCACGACTGCTTGAAGTGTCTATCACCAGTGCTCCCACTGGAATCCATTGGATCCCTACTGGTTTGGTAGCTACTTGAGGGCAGAGAATGAGTTATTTTCTTCTCTGGTTCCCAGCATCTAGCACAATACCTGGCACATGGTGGGGTCAACAATAAATGGTGGTCGAGAAAGATTGTTGAATGAAAGAATATATCCAGCTTCTATAGAAGAATAATTGTACTTTAAAAAAACCTTTGAGATTAGAAGTGCAGTTACCTGGGCTTGCTATCTTTCCCTGTTTGAGATGAACTGGGGACATGAAGGAGTAGAATTAGAAAAAACAACCAGAAGGTAAATTAAAGAGGCTGCCGGTCTTGACCTTATTAAGAGGATGGGAGCCACGTCTGATTACCTTGCTTTACATGATTCCTAAAATACCACTGCACGCCAGATTCAAATTCACGTATTTCTCTACTGGGCCTGTCAAGGTCTTTGGCAGTTTCAGGCATGTGACTTGACTTGGTTGTCTAATAGTCTCCATCAGGCACCCCGAACTCCTCTGACTACAATATGCCTTCTCATAGGCGTGTTCACACTTTCCAGTTTATACTTTCTCCCGCATTAGTGAGGGTGATTTGCCAAGGTCAAGGGGCCAGGGAATCATCTTAATCTGGTGGAGAACAGTGAAAAACCACATGTTAAAGCGGCTAATTTGGAGATGGAAAATTCCCAGTGGTGTGACACGCAGCACTCACCACTGTCAGTGGAGAGCACACTCTCCCGCAGTTGACTGTAAGCTGCCGACAGGACATCAGTGAAAGCAGAGCTGGGAAGAGATGTGCACAGTTAGCTCTTGAGAGCCAGCATACCACTGAAATCCCATTCCAAAAATGAGTCTTTGGAAGTCCCACTGCAATAGAGGGTTACTTCCTTTGGGAATTGCACTAGGGATATTGTTGAAAACTATGCATTCCAACCTCAAGTGGCATCTATAAAACCTACATAAGAAATTTCTTATAGATCTTAATTCTAGGAAAGTCTTCACTCCACTTAAGGAATTATTATTATTTTTTCCCTATATAAAGGGAAATGAGTGACTGATCTTATTTCTCTTCTTCCTTTGGCTGTCAAGAAACTCAATCCAGAATTATGATTTGACTTATGAACAATGTAGGAAATCATGACTTATTTATCTGTATTCCATCACATTCATCTATGCCTCCTATTCTAAGTGATGTTTTCTCTGTTTAATGACCTTTTGTATGTATATAAACATATGTATTCATTCATTCTATACACCATTTCATATCTTCTGTGACAGAGCATAAATAAATAAGATCCACATTTCTTGAATTTTCCTCTAGAGTTCCATTTTTACTCCCTTGGTGTGTACTCTGTATCTTGTTACAATGTGTACAAAGTACCCATAGTGTATATTCACTATTTTGTTATTAATACAATATTTTAAAGTTGTATTTCTTTTTTCTTTGCTCAGGGTAAATATGTGGTTTGTTTTGATCCCCTGGATAGATCTTCCAACATTAATTGCCTTGTGTCCATTGGAACCATTTTTGGCATCTATAGAAAAGTAAAATGTGATATAACACGTACCTGGTTTGGGATCAAAAGAAAAGTTAAGATTCAACATTCCATCCTATTTCACTATGTGGAGCAGCCAGAATGTAAATCATGAAACTCTGTGAGGCTTGAATAGATTTGTATCTCAAGTCCTGAGTTTCTATTTTTATTTTATGTTTTCTTAGAAGACGAGTATTGCTCTATAGCCCAGGCTGGGAGTGCAGTGGCATGATCATAGCTGATATAACCTCGAATTCCTGGGCTCAAGAGATCCTCCTGCCACAGCCTTCCGAGTAGCTAGGACTACAGGCGTGCACCACCACACCCAGCTAATTTTAAAATTTTTTGTAGAAACAGTGTCTCGCTTCGTTGCCCAGGCTGTTCTCGAACTCCTAGCCTCACGTGATCCTCTTGCTTCAGTCTCCCAAAGTGCTGGGTTTATAAGCATGAGCCACTGTGCCTGGCCTTCAAGTTCTGAGTTTTTCAGCTTTAATTGCAGAAGGAAGATCCATTAGGTTGTTAAAAGAGAAGGTAATAGTAAAACATGGGTGGGAAGAGAGTATATTTCACTTTTTAAACTATGCCTTTTTTTATGATAGAAAATTAGATTTTAAAAAAGGAGACAGTACAGTTTAAGTATAGTGATGACACTACATGAATTGAGAGTTGTGAAGAGTATGACAACTATAGAGATTATTTATGTCAATATTGTCCTTTAAATCCTCTGAATAAAGGGTCTGCAAACTACAAACCCCAGGCCAAATCTAGCTTGTTGCCTACCTTACATGGCTTGTGGACAAACAATAACCATTTTGCATTTTAAATAGTTGAAAAAATCTAAATAATAATATTTAATGCTTCATGAAATTTATATAAAATTTAATTTTCACTGTTCACGACTGAAGTTTTATTGGCCTATGGTCACATTCGTTTGTTTACATATTGCCTTTGGCTGATTTTATGCTATACTGTAAGGGGGAATAGTTATTACGGAGCCTGACCCATAAAACCTAAAATATTTACTATCTGTCCATCTGTAGAAAAAGTGTGCTGGGCCCTGCCCTGAGTCTGGCACAGGACGTGAACCCGGACCCTGCCCTGGGCCTTCTAACGGTGTGACCTGAGCTATCTCCAAAGCTTCTCTCTCTCTTTTATTTTTTCTCTTTAAGTGTGAGTGTGTGACAGAGAGAGAAAGAGAGAGAGAGACAGAGAGAGAGAGAGAGCAGGCTCAATTGTACAGACAGGTGACAAATAGAATGAATATCTGTGGACCCATCATAAAACATTATAAAATCTAAAATATGTCCTCTTAGCATCAGCTTTTGTTTATTTCAGAAATGAAACCTCACAGAATTATAGCTGAGCCTCTGTTTCTTCATCTTAAAAAATGAAGCAGTTAGTTCAGCCAAACTCTATTCTAGATTACAAAGGCATTAACTTAAGAAGTGAACCCCAAATTTGCGCTTATCTCTAAAAGTGATGTATTGTCCACTTTTGAAAAGTAGAGTCACTGTGGCACAGTTGTCTTTGGTCACTTGGATGTACTTTGCTTTTGTCTTGGGTGAGAGGCAGATCCACATCAAAATCAACTTGAGTAATAGAAGATTCTAATTCTCATGCCAGAAAGGCAAAGGCAACAATACATCTGTTTTCCAAGTCATGCCAAGAAACGTACCATTGCTCTTATAGACATGGAGGGATATAATTTTTCTTACACAGTCCCAAATCTGTAGTATAGCAAGAAAGGTTTGTAGCAAAATTCTTCCCTGTGGAGGAAGAGCTCTGGCTAATGACTTAGTCAAAATAAAGTAGCACTGACGTTTGCCAATCGCATTCTCTACCTTAGCCCCCCACATAAAAAACCTAGAAAATTGAGAGACACTGGCTAGCAACTAAAACCAACCAAACAAACAAAAGCAAAAACCCCAGCTTGCAACAGCAGCTTGAATTGGGAATGCCAGACACAGCTGTTGGCAGCTGGTCTCCACACCCTTCTCAATAAACCTGCAGTGACTCTCTTAAAAGATGGGAAGACACGATGAGTGTGACATAGTCACACTGAGTCATTTCAGTTTTCAAAAGTCTTATTGGTTGTTTGAAACCATTTGAGGGCTTATGGGGCAGAAACTTCGGCGTGTCTGTTGCTTCCAAGGAGACCTTTCCTGCTTTCCGCAGAGAAGGTTCTGAGCTGGAGTTCGGCTCCTTGGCGCACGTGCCCAGTGGGAGGGCATCCGTGACTGCGACCGGCAACCGTGCTCGGCCGTGGCCACATGAC